CGAAAAACCCTCCTAGGAATTCAAAACCATAGTTGTTTGGTGGCCTAAGCTTGTGGCCTGGAAATCTGTATTACATACATTGGTCCCAGGCTGGGAATAGCCTTGAGTGTCCAACAGAAGCAATAACAAAGTTCTCCAGGAGATACAATGAATGGCCAATAAATATGTGAAAAAATGTTCACCATCATCGGTTAACAGGAAAATGCAAATTAAAACCACAATGAGATACTACTACACCTCCATGAGAACAGCATATATTAAAAGGCCAACAATACCAAGTTTGGGTAAGAATATGAAGCTGGGGGCTCCTGGGTGGCTCATTCAGTTTAGCATCTGTATCAGGTCATGATCTCAGGGTGGTGATATCCAGCCCTGCACTTGCTAAATCGGCTTGAGATTTTTCTTCCCCTCTCCCTTTGCCCCTCTCCCTGCTCAAGCATGATCACGTGCACGCACACGCTCTCTCTCAATAAATATTTAAATAAATACAATCTTAAAAAAAAAAGGGAATATGAAGCAAATGGAGCTCTCACATGCTACTAAAATGGTACCATCACTTTGGAAAACTGGCAATTTCTTAAAAAGTTAAATACAACTGCCATGCAACCCAGTCATTCCACTCTGAAAAGAAAAAAATATACAAATGCTCAAAGATTTGTACATGATTGCTCATAGCAATTTAATCACAATAGCTAAAAACTGGAAACAAACCAAAAGTCCAACAACAGAGAATAATAAAATTACATGATATAACCATACAACAGAACACTATGTAGCAACAGAAAGCCACAAATTACTGATGTATGCAACTAAATGGATAAATCTCATATGTATTATGCTATGTGAAAGAAACTAGGCCCAAGAATATGCACTATATGATTTAACTTACATGAAATTCTAGGAAATGCAAATTAACAATAGTTCCTGAGAGGGGCACCTGGGTGGCTCATTCGTTAAGCACCTGACTTTGGCTCAGGTCAGGATCCCAGAGTCTCAAGATGGAGCCCCATGTCGGGTTCCCTGCTCAGCATGGAGTCTGCTTCTTCCTCTCCTTCTGCCCCTCCCCCTACTCCTTCTCTCTCTCAAATAAAATCTCAAAAAAAAAAAAAAAAAAGTTCCTGAGCCAAGGTGAAGGGAAATATGGACTGCAAAGAAACATACAGAAACTCTGGGGAGTGATAGAGCAGCTCTGTATTTTGATTGTGGCAGCTTTTTATAGGTATATACATCTGTCAAAACACTTTTTACTTTAAACATAGCTTATTGTACATAAATTATGCCTAAGCTAAGTTGACTTAAAAGAAAATTGTGATCTGTCAAATAAATAAAATCTTAAAAAAAAAAAAAAGAAAATTGGCAAAAAAAGAAAGAAACAAAGAAAATAAACTGCTCTTGGTAGAACTGACCTCGACCCAAGCTACATAGGACTACCACAGACAACGCCCCTTTGAATGTGACCTTACAATCCAAAACTACTACCTACCTGCGGAAAATATTCATTATGGGCAAGAGTCAGTTAAAACAAATCCTTAAAACTTCAGAAAAACATGATAGAGACTATAAGTTTATTTAAAATTATTATATGAGTTGAGGGGCGCCTGGGTGGCTCAGTGGGTTAAAGCCTCTGCCTTCGGCTCAGGTCATGATCCCAGGGTCCTGGGATGGAGCCCTGCATCGGGCTCTCTGCTCCGCGGGGAGCCTGCTTCCTCCTCTCTCTCTGCCTGCCTCTCTGCCTACTTGTGATCTCTTTCTGTCAAATAAATAAATAAAATCTTAAAAATAAATAAATAAATAAAATAAAATTACTATATACGAGTTGAAAACATGAGATAAAAACAAGATACCATGGAAAACAAAGAAGCATATTTAACAGTGAACTAGATAGTACTTCTAAAAATGAAAAAGCTAATGAAGATAAGAACTCAGGGCACCTGGGTGGCTCAGTCAGCTCAGCAACTAACTGGCTCTCAGCTCAGGTCTTGATCTCAGGGTCATGAGATTGAGCTCTCATCAAGCTCTGCACTGGGCATGGAGCCTACTTAAGATTCTCTCTCCCCCTCTCCCTCTGCCCCTCCAGCCCTTAAACACACACACACACACACATACACAAAGTAAATTAGTTCTAGCTGAAAAGTAAATTAGTAGGCTAGGAGATAGATTTAAAGAAATTACCAGGGGCGCCTGGGTGGCTCAGTGGGTTAAAGCCTCTGCCTTCAGCTCGGGTCATGATCCCAGGGTCCTAGGATCGAGCCCCGAATAGGGCTCTCTGCTCAGCAGGGAACCTGCTTCCTCCCTTCTCACTCTCTGCCTGCCTCTCTGCCTGCCTCTCTGCCTACTTGTGATCTGTCAAATAAATAAATAAAATCTTTAAAATAAATAAATAAAAAGGGAATGACTACCAACTTTTTACAAAATTTATGCAAGGTATGAAATCTCAGATTGAGGAACCACTATAAGTTCCCAGTAGGATACAATTAAATCCACAGCATGTAATGAAACTGCAGAGCACAAACAATAAGATCTTTAAAACTACCAGAGAAGGGGCGCCTGGGTGGCTCAGTCATTAAGCGTCTGCCTTCGGCTCAGGTCATGATCCCAGGATCCTGGGATGGAGCCCTGCATCAGGCTCCCTGCTCAGAGGGAAGACTGCTTCTCCCTCTCCCACTCCCCCTGCTTGTGTTCCCTCTCTCACTGACTCTCTCTTGTCAAATTAAAAACAAAACAAAACAAACAAAAAAACCAACTTTAAAAACTACCAGAGAAAAATAAAAATGCAGGTTACCTGCAACAAAATGATAGTTAAATTGTGAGCACAGTTCTCAAAAGTAACAACAAAAAGCCAGAATTTCAGTAAAATAACATATTCAAGGTGCTGAGAAAATAATTGGAAGCTTAGTACCCAGCTAAACTATCAAGACTGAAGAGAAAAAAAAAAGATGTTTCCACAGAGTGTTTAACACTAACTGACCCCTCACTGAAGAAAACATCTGAAGGATATATTCATCTATTTAACACAAAAGGAATAAAATGCAAGAAAGAATGGTGAAAAAACAAACAGTAAGCATAGAAGGATAAAATGAAAATAATCACTGACAGCACAAAACACAATACTGTTAGAATACAATAACAATTATTATTACTTAGAATTGTTCAATATTGAAATGGACTGCCTTTGGGAGTGGTCCCATCTTTGGAAGTGCTTATTTTGAGTTCAGACAACACCTTTTGATATGTTCAGTATAACAGTGGGTAAGAGGCTGAAATAAATGACCCCCAACATACTTACTGACCATCGGGTGTTATCAATCAGACACAGCTGTCAACATATTCTCCAATCAGCCCTGTTTAGCCACCTGTGGCAGGGCTTTTCACCATCCTAACAGTCCTAGAACTCAACCACTAGTTCAAGGCATTCTTCTCACTCTCATATTCCATAAATAAAAGAGAATATTCTAAATAGAAATGTTTTTATATGAGCTTTCAGGTAAGATCTCCTAGCTTTGGGGGAGCATCATTAGTCATCATTTGCTTGAACTTGGGCCAAGAAAAGAGTACTTTGGAAGCTTTTACATAGAATTATGTGCTTCTTCCTCTACAAGGAGAACCATTCAGGAACAGAGAGGGAGGGAACACATACTCATCCCTGCTGATGGAATGCTGCTACCTCACTTGGTCTGAATGTTCCCTCTGGGCTCCCATATATTCACAGCAGTAAAGATCTTCACAAGGTAGCCCTAATCCCCTTATCATCAAGGTTTCTGCCCATCATAGAGTAACAGTTTCAAGAACTTTGGAAATATGGGACCAGGAAACAGACACTAGAGAGAGGGAAACACGGATTAAAGGGAGTAACTCTCACAGTTTTAGAAGGCAGTTCCATTCCAGGCAAAAAGATAGAATACAGAGGTTCAAAAGCCATTAAATGGAGATGGGCTCCTATTTCTTTTCAGTCCATGAAAGCTCATTCATTTCAAAGCATACATTAAGAGCCAGGACATGTTTCACTCATACCTACCTAGGCGTCAGGATAGGGGACAAAAGACACTGTCTATCTAGAAGGACAAACATGCAGACACTCTTCCCATACCAGATGAGCAGCACTCCCCTGGGGCGTAAGCAAGAGAGGACACCCAGAGGAGGCAGCATGAAGCCAGTTACGCTCTTTCCCACCCACAACCTTCACACAGTAACTTACAGTCATGTATTTGTACACTCCAAGATGCTTCCATGAAACAACTTAACTGATTTGACCCTCAGAAACACCCCAAAAAGTAGGTAAGGCAGGTAAGTTATTGTTAACGTATGCGAAGCGAGGCTCAAAATAAATCAGGTGACCCGTCCAAGAAAACGCGCACCCCTTAACCCCCACTCCTTATTTAACCCAACCATGCACTAGCTAAGTAATCCTCACCAAGTAAACATTATAAAATACCTCCGCTTCCCTATCTGGAATAAAGGATAATAGGACAATTAGGAATTTTAAAAAATGATCCACGTCAAGGGTGTGGTACAATGCCTGAAACGTAGCGGGTGCTACGTTTACTACTAGTATTACTACTGCTATTGTTAACAATAGGCGGAGACTTCCCTGGGACCTCTGGGTCACAAGCATTTCACGAACACGCACTAGCCGCCCCCTTCCCTCCCCGCGCCCGGGTGGTAGACAGAATTCCACAGACACGCCCCCAAACAGACCCTCCCCCTAGGCACGCCGGCACCTCCCCCACACCGGACATGACCCCTCCTCACAAACCTTACCCCCGATAGATTCTCCCCAGTCAGAGTAGGTTATGAAGGAGGCCTTCCGCTCGCACCCGCCTCTCCAGCACCCCCTTTAGGCCCCGGCATACCTGCGGGCGCCCGGACTGAACGCCAGCCGCAGGCCCGCGCCGGTTACCTGGCCGCGCGCTCCCGCTCCGCCTCACGCTTCCACAGGATCGGGTTTGTCGCGGGCTCGCGCCAGCGCTGTGAGCGCACAATTAGTTTAAACTATGGCCCCGCCCCCTCGCGCCACCCTCTGATTGGCCCCGGTCGTCAGGAGTCTCACGCAAGGGCACGCTTCAGGACCCGGGAAAAGGAAGTGTGAGGACCACTGGGAAGAGAGAACGGGCGTCGCTATTTCCGGACCCGGGCCGGGACTTGAGAGAAAAGAAAACTACAAATCCCAGCACGTCCCGCGGCTTTGGAGCCCCGCCCCTAGCGAACTACAGCTCCCGGTAGGCATAGCCGCAGCACTTACGGAGTGTGGCCGGGATTCGGTGGTGAGGGTAGTTACCATGGAGTTGGCGCTGAGGTAGTGGGACGCCGAGGCTGGAGGGAAAGCAACTGCGGGTGAGTCGGGCGGGAAAACAAGGAAAGTCGTTCTAGGGAACCATTCGCTTTCTGGAGAGATTAAGGAATTTCCTTTTCGGGGACCTGAGAAACCCCCCGCACACACCCCTTACCCCCTTTCACAATGAACAAGACACGACATCCATACGGAATGGACCAGGGGAGGGAAGGGGAACGAGATACATACCCACACGGATTTGGGGGCGCTTAAGAACATTTCCTGTCACAAACCTGGGACCCCCTAATACGGATGCCTCAAATCCCTGACAGTGGAAGATCAGAAATACCCTCAGAAAATGGGTTGGTTTTTCCTGTGATGATGAACTGAGACCTCTTCAAGACATGGAAGTAGAATTAGAGTAAATCGCACGCCCTAATACTGGAGATTTGTGAGGCTTGACTTGTCTCTTTCCTTACAGTCAGGAAGATCCCAGGGTACAGCTTCCTCCTCAGGGTCAGCAGCATCTGCCCACACACACGCGTTAGGGGTCCTGTCCCTAAATTACTTCTTCTCCCTACACCTCCCCTATGGTCTGCTTCTCCTAGCTCTGTGGTTAGAGTCTGATTCCTTTTACAGTCTTCATGACAGATTATATTAGGCAACTTACCCAGCACATTCACATTCAGTCTCTCTTTTGAGTTTTGAGTCAAGGATATTTATCCCCATTTTACAGATTGGAAAACTGAAACCCAAAGAGGAACAGAGACTTGCCCAAGGCCACACACCAAATCGGTGACAGCTTAGGAACATACCCCAGTTTGCCAGTTTCCAGCCAAGTCACTAACTTGAGTTTACAGCCTGTTTAGCTTAAGGACTTGTTCCAAGGAGTAAACTGCCCCAGGACAGCAGCTAAGTTGAATCTTGGACTTCCCTGTGGCACCTGGGAATAAAACCTCCCAGAATACACTAGATTATGTGGCCAACTTTTCATGACACTTTGATTTTTGTCCCACCTATAGCCCATAAACAGAAACCCTCTCTAGGCCAGGCCATTCAGACTCCTATCAGATCTTATCTGATTATTCCTCAAAATTTCCTGTGCCATCATACTGCTACTTACCTGAGAGTAAGTAGAGAGGGAAGAGAGGGAAGAAACAGGCTAACAACAAATGAAATTACAATTGTTAGTAACTTCAAAAACTGAAAACAAATTTTCATCAACTGGGACTGGTTAAACGTAACTAAATGAAGTGGGATACACACAAATTCTATTCAATACTCTGCAGTTATTAAAAAGGGTGAGTCTAGGGGCACATGGCACATGGGTGCTCAGTGAAGCATCTGCCTTCGACTCAGGTCATGATCTCAGCGTCTTGGGATCAAGCCCTGCATCTGGCTCCCTGCTCAGCAGGGAATCTGCTTCTCCCTCTCCCTCTGCCTCCACCCACCCTCCATTCATGATGGCATGCTCATGCTCTCTCTCTCAGATAAATAAATAAATCTTAAAAAAATGTTTTCAGAAAAGGATGAGTCTACAATTTAAAAAGAAAAAGTACATTGTTAGCTAACACTACAATGGCAACCATATTTAGTATAAATGTATCATATCAGTGTGTTGTACATCTAAATTTACACGTTATGTCCGTTATCCCAGTTATAAAGTAGAATTTAAACAATACATTTACAAATAGTATATGTTTATTTAAAAATATACACAATTTTGTATATCTCCCTTCTAAGAGGTTATAATTCCAAATATTAACCATGTTTTTGGTCAGATAGAGACTCAGACTTTTAGTTTCTACTTGATGTACTTCTCTATGTTTGACTTTATTTAGCTATCATATTAACTTTTAAAATAAAATAAAACCAGTAGAGGATATTTCCAATTTGGGAAGGAAAAATTCCAAAACAAGACAAGTATGCCTCTAAACTTGTCATTCGTCAAGTCAATCTTGACAGATGAGGAAGGCACTAGGATCTGACTGGGCATGAGGCAGAACAGCAGCTGGGAAAGACTGACTCCAGAAATTCGGGGTGCCTGGGTGGCTCAGTGGGTTAAAGCCTCTGCCTTCATCTCAGGTCATGATCCCAGGATCCTGGGATCGAGCCCCACGTCGGGCTCTCTGCTCTGCAGGGAGCCTGCTACCTCCTCTCTCTCTGCCTGCCTCTCTGCCTACTTGTGATCTCTGTCTGTCAAATAAATGAATAAAATCTTAAAAAAAAAGAAAGAAAGAAAAAGAAATGCAACCACTGGGGCACCTAGGTGGCTCAGTCAGTTAAGCATTTGCGTTCGGCTTAGGTCATGATCCCAGGGTCCTGGGATTGAGCCCCACATCGAGCTCCCTGATCAGTGGAGAGCCTGCTGCTCTGCCTCCTTGTGCTTTCTATCTCTTTGTCAAATAAATAAGATCTTTAAAAAACAAACAAGCATACAAACAAGGCTCTGAAGTGAGCAAAGCAACCTCAAGGTTTTGTCAGTTCTACCCAGCAGCCAGGTATACCATGTGACACCTGAAGACACTAATTCATTTCTTTCTTTTATCTATTATCCATTTGTTCATCAAGACTTTAGTGAAGACCCACTCTTTGCCAGGCTCAGTACAGAGTAATGGTAGGAAGAGAGAAAGAATTCTGACTTCTGTCCCTGGCCTTGAGCTTATAGGGAAGGAACAGGAGGTAGTTTATAAAGAAATGAGTACAGGGGCACCTGGCTGGCTCAGTCAGTAGAGTGTGTGACTTTCGATCAGAGTCATGAGTTCAAGCCACACAGGGCATAGAGCCTACTTTAGGAAGGGGGGTTGGTTGCTTAAGTGGCTCAGTTGGTTAAGTATCTGATTCAGGGGTTGGTTGCCTAAGTAGCTCAGTTGGTCATGTGTCTGACTCTTGATTTCAGTTCAGGTCTTGATCTTGGGGTCATGGGACTGAACCCCACATCAGGTTCCCCACTTAGTGGGGAGTCTGCTTGATATTCTCTCCCTTTGCCCCTCCCCCACTCACATGTGCACGCTCTCTCTCAAATAAATAAATCTTTTTTAAAAAGGGAAAAAGAAATGAGTACAGATAATACAACTTCTTCAGTGTATTAGTACTAGCACCTGCTGCAGGACATACAGTGGCTCTCAGGATAGGTTTGTCTCCATTTTACAGATGAGGAAACAGTCTGATAAAACTTTATTCAAAGTGCAGTAGGGGTATGTATCAGTTAGCTATTGCTGTGTAACAAATCATCCAAAAACCGTAGTGACTTATGATCTGTATTACTGCTTCCAAGTCTCTAAGTCAGCCATATGTTTCTTCTGGTCTTGGCTGGGCTCATTCATGTGTCTGCAGGCACCTGTGACTATCCTGAACTTTGAATTGGTTGTAGGCTGGCTGTTGGCTAGTCTAGGATGGCCTCAGCTGGGAACACTAACTCTCTGCACATAATTCACCTGCATATGTTTGTCACATCCCTCCAGCAGGGTAGCCATTTTCTCTTGGCACAGGCAAAGAGCAAGAGGGCAAGCCCTCTCTTTAAGCTTTCTGTTTGCTTCATGTTTACTAACATCCCACTGGCCAAAGCAAGTCACATGGCTGAGCCCAGCATCAGAGTGGATAGAACTACAGAGTTATAGGGCAAAAAAATAGATACCAGGGAGACCAGGAATAGGAATAATCAAGGGAATCAATCTACCACAGAACACGATCAATTTTATCTGGAAAGACAGGCTTCATCAAAGAGGGTACACTAGGCTTGAGTATTAAAAGAGAATATTCACTAAGTAGGCAGCTGTTTCTTAGAACTGGATGCAGGCTGGTTGCCACAATTAGTGGAAACCTAGCAGACTTTTCTGTGCTCATGACAGACAGGGTTCTCTTATTTGTTATCTTGGCTTCATTCCTTCTGGTCAGGCATAGGGCAGCGGGCACTCCATACACGTTTGCAGAATTGAATTGAGTTTCTTACTGTGAATGAGGTGTGGACTGAAAAAGCTGAACCTGGGAGCCAATTGTTAGAAAGAGCAGCTTACCATCAACACTAGCAAAACAGAAAGCCTTGTATTTGGCAGTTTCTCATTCATTTCCTCCCACAAGCATTTCTTGAGTGCCTGTTGTAAGCCAGGTTCTGTGTCAGATGATGAATAAGACACAGTGCTAGCTCACAGCCTGGGCTACTATTGAAATGGAGAAGAATAACAACCGTTTCCAACTGGCAAATTTATCTAAACTACTGAGGGCTGCATTTTTAATACTAACTCATCCAGAAAAATACATCAGGAGTTGGTATGACACAAAGTCAGAAGTTCTTAGGAACTGCACTGATTTAGGTTCTCTGATGGTCAAGGAAACTAATGGTAAAATTCTGTCCTTAAATATTTTAAGCTAAAATCCATGTCCAGTAGTGCAGAACTCTGGGGTCCCAACCCAGGACTTTGAAAAAAGTATCTAGTCTTGCTCAAAGACATCAAAACTGTTGTAGGTGCTCTAGTGGAATGCGCTTCTCTGTTTAGGGGAGAACACAAGCCAGGTTCCTCTATTTCCAGAAAAGTCTGTGTTCTTTGTTGACTGTCTGTATATTTGATACCTAAAAGATGCTGGTCTCCCTAATTAAGTCTGTACCCACCAGGCCAGTCCTGATTTGACAGAGAATTCAACTGTGAAGTGACTCAAGGTAGCACTTCCACAAAGCACAGTTGAGACTGCTTTTTGAGAGGAAGACATTCACTTTCCATTCCTGTACATGTTAAATCACCAAAAATTAGTCAAACTATATTAAACTTAAGTGGAATTATACACTATCAAGTCCATGGTTTTTAAGAGAAATCATTTTAAGAAAATGTGTGGATCTCACTTTCTGCATACAATCTATTTGCTTCTTTGAATCAAATGCTAAGAACTCCATATCCTAAGGTTTCCTTTTTTACTTTGGCTGCCAGGAATTTCAGAGATAACATAGGCCAGTTCCTAATTCTGTGGTACATCTCTTTGTCTTCCTTTAATCTACCTTCCGATCTTTCTCCTCCATGGTTTCCATTTCCTACATCTGCCCTGTCAGTCTGGTAGCCACTAGTCACCTGCGGCTGTTGTGCACTTGCCAGGTAGCTTCTGTAAAATATCTCCATTGTTAATAGCAATTATATGTTGAGTATTATTTTGGATATATTGGGTTAAATAAAATATATTAAGCTTTACCTGTATCTTTTGACTTTTCTTTTTATAGCTACTAGAAAATTTTAAATTACATATGTGAGAAAATTATATATGTGGCTTGCATTTGCAGTGTTCATTATATTTAGTTGGACAGCTCTGTTCTCTAAGAAATCATCCTGTTTTATGAGTGTGTTGTTACGAACTACCTCAAATCATTTTGGAAACCAGGTGAAGTAGTGAGCAAAGGTGACAACAGCAGTGGATGAAGTGAGGAAGGGGAGGTTGACTGGGACATGTCCTTGTCAGTCTATGTGTCTTTTGTTTGTACCTGTCACATAGAAAACCCCTTGGTAAAGTGTGTTTTGAGCTTTCTTCTTCCCAGGTGAGTAGTATTCTCACTTCCCCAGCCTCTTGAAAATTTCTCAGCTTTACTTGAGCTAACCAATTGGAAAGGATCTGATAAGACAATTGATAACATTGTGTTCACCCCTCTCATGGGTATTTCCATTTTAACAGAAAACAATCCCTGAACCCAAAGGAATGAATCCCTAATGGTGGAGTTTCAGGCATTGGTGACAGGTGAGTGAGTGAGGTAGACTCTGATTTGACGTGTAGGTGCTTATATACGTAGGAGTACATTTGGCATGTGGCCGAAAGTAGGGTCTTTGGATGGAGAAGTGGGGTTGACAGACAAGCTGATCAGAGAAGGTAGCAAATCCCCAGCTGGGTCGGACTGGCAAAGGGCTGTCAGACACCAGGTCCAATGCAGGCCCTCCGGGGTTTGTTAAGCAATAGAATAGCCCAGTTGATGTCACTGAGTGTAGGTACCAAGACAGCCTCCATGGTAACTACTGTGGAGTAGCACAAAGGGCCTCAGAGTAGGATTCAGGAGTGTATGATTGCAGTCCACACTGACTCACTGGCTTAACTCTGGGCAAGTGCTTTCACCCTGGGGTCTCAGTTTCTTCGTGTGGAAAGCAGAAATGGGTGTTACAACTATCAATAAGCTCTAAGGGATGTAAAGGTGTTCTGAGAAGTAGGAAGTGCCCTACAAATGCAAGGAATGGTGATTACTATTTTAAAATAGAAATGCAGCCAGGCAAGCCTGGGGTGGTGGAGGGCAGAAAGCAAGGGTGCAGGGCTCTGGGGATACCTGGAAGCCTAAGCCCCTTGTACCTGGAATACCAGTCCTTCTTATCACCCCCAGGCTGAACCCGGACTCCCAGGGCCAGTGCTTACACCTGACAAATGATGGCCTGAGCTATGAGCAGACAGGACTATATGAACACTTCGGTGCAAGAGCCCCCTCTTGACTACTCCTTCCGAAGCATCCACGTGATCCAAGGTCAGCCCACAGAGCACAGCACTCCACTCACCATGGCAACAGGCTGCGTATGGTCCCTAGGGAGAGATCAGTCTTTTACTTAAGAGCCTAAAAGAGTCTTCCTGTGTGCTTGCAGATTTTTTTGACGTTTTTGAGAGGAGTAGGGGGTAAGGAGGTGGCAGGAGTGGAAGGGGTAACTGATCACCTTCAAAAGAATCCCCGCTACAGCAGTAAAGTCGGGTGGAAGAATAGTGGGAAACCAGTTTATCAGCCAATGGTTTTATTCTCCTGTCTTTACCTGAAGAGAGGAAGAAATGGATGAAAACACAGGCAGAATCCTATCTCCTCTGAGGACACAAGCCTATTCTGATCACTGGTAAAACATGCAGGGTCTCATTATTAACAACTGGCATGTTTCCAGTTTAAATATTTATTAGTAAACACCTTATGCTTATCCCAGGCCTACCCAAGCTTATTCCATCATCACCCACAATTATTGCAGCTTCCAGCACTGCCCATTTTATTATTGAGTTTCTTTGGAAATAGGTGGCTCAGGGAGGCTCTTAGCAGTATCCTATTCTCAGAGGAAGATGCTTCTTCCCAAGGAAGTTCTGTCCCTGGCTTTTGCTATCTGGCTTTCTGGCTTCTCAGAAATGCACTGTACATCTGCTCTCACAGAACCCATGCTGGCACCCACATATCCTAGACCCAGATCTGGCTTCGGTTTTCTCTCACAGGCAACTGGGGCCTACTTTTAAGCTCAGGAAGAAGGCAAATAGTTATCCAGGAGGTACGAGCCCTGGCTTGAGCTTGGGATACTACTGGGTTTGCACCAGCCACAGTGGTAACTCATATTCTCTCAGGAGCACACACCGACCCACTGTGATCTTTATTTATTGTGCACAGCATCACTTCTGACGTAGTCTGTGATTCACAAGGGTTTTAGCTGTGATGGTCCTGTATGAGATAGCTGAGGTGGCAGGTGATGAAGTATGGCTCCTGCCTACCCTGGGCATTCCCAGCTCTAAGTGGGGAAATAGAGCTTTGCATTGCTTTGCACTCTGTGGAACCTTCAAAATGAGGGGAGAAAACATCCACTACACACGGGTAACTCCACAGCACAAACCACGGGCCATACAGATGTCGGCTCCTTCATTCAATGGTTAAATATTTACTGAGCATCTACTATTTAGTAAGCACACATGTATACACACCTGCCAGGTTCCTTGCTGTGTCTTGTAAGGAGGGAAACAGGAGAAGCATATCCAGCCCACAAAAGGCCAGTCCCCTCAGGTTCCCTGGAGCTTGTGGAAAGAATCTGGGACTACTTGATAGACTATTTGCTAAAGTAATCAGTAGATGGATTATAGATTCTGAAATGCTGGGGACTTTAGACCACATCCAACCCATAGACCTCTGACTTCTCACCAACCTACAGTATTAAGAGAGTCTGCCATGAGATACTTACCAACCCCTTCCATTATGGGGTGAGGGATGATGTGAGGAAGTTATCAAACTAACTCCCACCCTCTAGGGAAACATGGAAAAGTCTTGTGGCAACCCTTCAGAAATAGAAGACAGAATCATGCTTTCCTGGTGTGCCTGGAGCTAGGCACTCCCTAGTTCTTTGGGCACTGATATCTGTGCTCCATTTTCCAGACCTGCCTTGGCCTACTCTGAACTAGGCAGCTTCAACAGATCCTTAAGCAATGCAGTGCCCTGGTGGAATCTGAAGGGAACAGAATCCTGTAGCAGTGGGATACCCCATTCCACTCTTGATACTGACAGCCCAGATGGGAGCTTAAGTTTTCGGCAACACAGTCCCACCAGTGGCTACTTCTGAGCTGGAGAGCCGCCCATGCTGAGTGGCATTCCTCAAGCTATTGCCTCATCAGGCTGGATGCTAATCTATATGTGGATTTATTTTAACCCTTTTATTCAGCTGTGTCGTTTCATTGGGAGTTCTCAGGATATGCTGGGGCCGGAGGCAGGATTAGGAGCTCATTCACGAGCTGGAGTACTGTGCTCCAGTGCCTTTCTGCCACCTCCCCCCAACCTCAGGCCGCGACTGTGGCTCCTGCTAACTCCAGCACTAAGGCAGAGAGCCATCTGGTGGATGCTGGCTGACCTGCAGCTGAGGAGAGGAAGTGACTACTGGGTGGAGGTAGAAGGAAGTGTGTCCAGTAAGAGCTCAGGGGAGTGAAAGACAGCCAGCCAGCTTCAGCAAATCCAATACTTTCTTCCCCGGATGCAGCTTTAGACAAGTAATGAGAGACTTGGGGCAAGAGGAAATATATAGTCCCCTCAGCCATAGCCAGTATCTGGTTCTGACTCTGCCACTATGAGTCTGGGCAGGACCCAGCCTTTCTCGGGACCTCATTTGTCAGAAAGGGTGGGGGGGGATCTACACAGATGGTTTATAACATCCATGTTTTCCTTATTCTCTCTCCTCGGCCGAACTTTCTGACGAGGGCCAAACTTTCTGACGGTGTTGTTTACACTACTTGCTTAGATTTCCTTAACCTGTTTACTCTTGAACTCAGTCCAATGTAGCTTCTGGCCCCAGGCCCTTGTGATTTCATTGTAACAGCCTTCACCAGGATCACCAAGGGCTTGAGTTGCCAAAATTACTTTTCAGTCCTTATCTCCTTTAAATTCACTCTTATAAACTATGAACTCCCTGAGCATCTGTAAAAAGTATTTTCTTGTGGTTCTCCCTCCCTGTCCTTCCCTCATTACTCATCATTATTTAATAGACGCCTCCTCCTCCTTGTCCCTCCTCTCTACCCTCACTCTCCGTATAGAATCCCCTCTATTTCTCTAACTTTTACACCTTCTATACTGATTCTCGTCCATCTCCGGAGCTTCAGACCTTCGTACCCAACAGCCTGCTTGGCTTCTGCACCTCTTTGTTACAGAAGCCTCAGATATACACCAAGGCCAAGGCTGAACTCTTTTTTTTTTTTAAACTTCTCACCTTTTCAACCTTAGTTTGTCTTTTTCTAATTCCTTATCAGTCCCCTAAATAAGAAACCGGGCACCGCCCTTGATTATTCTTTACCCTTACATCCAGTCAACCATGAAGTCATGCTGATTCTCTCCCTCTCATCTCTTGCCTGGATGACCAAAAAGAGCCACACTGGTCTTCCAGTCCCACCCACTCCCTTTAATCCATCTCCACACTAAAGCTTCAGAATGATCTTTTTGCAATGAAAGATTTGGATCACCCTTTGCTTTAACCCTCCAATGGCTTCCCATCACCTACAGAATAAAGTCCAAACTATTCTGCCTGGCGTTCAAGCCTCCTTGGCTTTTCGCTCTGTGTCCCACCTTGCGCAGTACGTGCATACACGCCCTTTCCCACCTCTGTGCCTCTGCTTGGGTGCCACTCTCACCCTTTCCACCCTTTGCCTGGTTAAGTCTCCTAATCCACTGAACTCGATCTTAGGTTTCGATTTCCCTGAGTTCCCAGACTAGGAGTCCTTCTTTATGATTCCGTCACTATCACATTGCCAGTTTGTTTTCATCCTGCCTATATGAGCTCCTCCAAGTCACAAAATCTGCCTCATCCCTACACTGTTACTCATCCAGAACTTGGCACAGACCATCTCCCACTTTGTTTACCACTATACATCCAGTATCTGGCACATACACAGTTGCCCAGCAGTAATGCGAGAGAGGGACATCAGAGGGTGTCGTACTGAAGTGAATGCTCTAGGCTCTACCAGTGGATAATTCTAGATTTTGTGCTATAATCATCTTGGTCAAGTCTGACAATTATAGTTCTTAGTTTCCATAAAGTGGGAATGATTTTGCCTCCCACACCCCCAAAAGGGGTGGCATATAGAGGACCCAATGATAGGAGAGACATGAGAGGACCATGGGATGCAAACCAAGAATTTGGGATGGCAAGTCTTTGACCCTTAGTCCAAGTTTACTTGGACTCCTGGGGCCTGTGGGAGTGATACTAGACTCAAGCATGAGGCTATGGTCCTGCCAGCACCCCCAGCTCTAGCACAGGCTGTAAATCCTCCCAGCTCTGTTCCTTCCCACCCCTAAGGCAGAAAAGCAGAGACAATAACCCATATCTCACTGTCCCCACAGACCTGATGAGCGAGGAGCCACGGACAGGGCTACGACCGTTAAGGCACTCAAAGTCAGGGAAGTCACTGACCCAGTCCCTGTGGCTGAACAACAATGTCCTCAATGACCTGAGAGACTTTAGTCATGTGGTTTCACTGCTTCTGGAGCATCCAGAGAACCTGGCCTGGATCGACCTGTCCTTCAACGACCTGACTTCCATCGACCCTGTGAGTCCCCAGTACTGATCATCTAGTCAGGGTGGGCCCGACACCACCTTGTCCAGCCCCCAGCCTCTCCATCTCCCACATGTCTTTCAGGAAGTAGTGCAGCAGCAGGCTGCTGTCTAAGTACATGGCTGGGGGCTCTGCAGACGTAGGTTCAAATCCTAGGTTTGTCTCTTACTGTGGGACTTTGGGCAAGATACCCCACCTTTCAAAATCTCAGCCTCCCTGTCTGAAAAAATGAGGAGCATGTGCTCCCACAAAACATAAAGGTTTTGTGAGGATTAAATGAGAATTATGAAAGCCAAATGGCATGTAGCAGGCCGCAATAACACAACAGCTTTTGTTATCAGGCACCCACTGTGCCTTGTGCAGTTTTTTTCTGTGGAAGAGGTAGATCAAGTACAGCACTTAATTTCCATGAACTCAGACTCAAGTTTTAAGAAATAAACACATTGACCTTTTCTTGTCCAGGATCCCTACCAGAGGGAAAAAGCAGCTAGAGCATGAGCTGGAAATGATTCCCTGGGTTGTAGATTTTAATTTTGTAATTGCAATTTTGAAAGCTTCTCTTCTGTACCTAGCGAGATGCTATCCCTGTCCCCTGTTGTGAAAGAATCTTAGATCTCCAATGCTAAAAAGGTCTTCAGTGTAGGGGCAATTGAGGCACGGGGGGAGCAGGAGTGCCTAGTCACCTGAGAAGTCAGTGGCTGTGCTAGGCTGCAGGTCCATACCTCCTGCCCCTCAGACCACAGTTCTGTGTCAACATGATACCCCTGTACCCATTCAGAGTTAAACAATAAGTAGGTCAGAGTTATCCAGAATGGCTGCAGGGGGGTGGCAGACTGGAAAGCAAGTTGTTTCCCAGACTCTTCCTTCTTTGCCCATCAGTCAGTCCTGAGCACCAATCCAGGGCCCTGCCCATCCTGGCTTTCGGTTTCCTTCCCCAACAGGTCCTGACAACTTTCTTCAACCTCAGTGTACTCTATCTCCATGGCAACAGCATCCAGCGCCTAGGAGAGGTGAACAAGCTGGCTGTCCTCCCACGGCTCCGGAGCCTGACACTCCACGGGAATCCCATAGAGGAAGAGAAGGGGTATAGGTGAGTGCCCTGACCCCGAAACAGCTCCCCTGAGGGCAAGGAGGTGGGGAGGGAAGAAATCCAACACCAGTGTTCTGCCGTGCTGGGGCAGAGAAGGGAGTGGAGACCTTTTGGCATGTCTTACTATCCATCAGGGGAGACTCTGTCTCCCCCCAAATTATCCTTTGGTCCCTCCATTCCTTGCAGTTAGGGGAGAGAGCAGCAACTGGTGGAGGGAGAAGGAGGTTCTGGTGGGGGGTTGGCCCCCAGCCCAAGTCTTCCCCACAGGCAATATGTGCTGTGCACCCTGCCCCGTATCACCACATTCGACTTCAGTGGGGTCACCAAAGCAGACCGTGCCACAGCAGAAGTGTGGAAACGCATGAACATCAAGCCCAAGAAGGTCCGGATCAAGCAGAATGCACTCTGAGGTTCCCAGGGCCCCAGCAGTCCTAAAGGCCGAAGACAGTCAGTTTGGTTTAACAATAAACGATTTGAGCAGTTGAGCAGATGTGAAGTCACCTGTGCCATGTACAAATGTCCTCTGCCTCAGGAAATGGTCAGTAGTTCCGGTCTTACTTTGCCAGTGGAGGGAGGCAGTGGAGGGAAAGGCCTTTTGGCCTGGGACATAGACCTTTTGACCTGGTTTACTGTATGGTGTTGAGAAACTTACCTTATCTCTCTGGGCCCCTTTTTAAAAAACTCTTCAATTCAGATAACCCGAGGTTGGAGCTGCTTCACAGAGCACAAGTTTCTGTGGGTACACCTCAGAGAAGATGCTAGACCCCCCACTTCAATCAGATCAGAGTAGCTCCACTCTGTTTTACATGCTGGTGTTCTGCTTGAGATTTCATCAGATAAATAGAATCTTCTGCTTGAAAACAGTGGCTTGCTGGCTCCGTATCAAGTATCCTTGGTCTGCCTTTACCCCTCAACCCTGGGCTTGTTGGTAATTCCACTGCACCTGAAGCAGGGCCCCCAACAGTGACAGCTGCCTTGGATTCCAGTTTGTTCAGTTTGGACAGTATTCACGGGAGAAGGGACAAGCAGTCTTATCCAATCTGAGGTTAGCCCAGGCCAAGTTCCAGCTAAGACCTGGGAACTCTGAACCCTTATCTCCTAGATTCCTCTCAATGGCCCTAGAAGATGTGGCCCCCGCCCCATCTCGCTGCTCACAGACAAGAAGTACTAGGGTGGTGGGCAGGACAGAGGGGCTGCAACCAGCACACAGATGAATACACTTCCTTTATCGAGGGCGACAAACCAAAACAAAACCCCAAAACCCCAAACATGTAAAAACCCAGGGTGCTAGAAATACAAACTCAATTCATTCAAATTCAAGCTCGTCCAGACCCTGGTCATAAACCCTCATGAGGTGCATGTGAGCACCAAGTCAGGGAGGGGGGAAAGGAGTGAGGCCAAGAGAAAGGGTGGGAAGAGGGCCCCCACAGGCCCCCTAGGGATCACCCTCACAGTGGTACCTCCACCTTCCCAGTGACAGTGAAGACCTACTAGGCCCTAACCTTTTGATCCCCACCCCATCCCTGGCCAGGGCTTTGAACGCCAGTCCCAAATGGTTCTGCCCTCCCTTGCTCCGTCCTCAAGTGCTGAGGCTTCCGGCCTCACTCTTCTCCTCCTCCACACTCTTCTCTGTGATTAGTAGCAGGTCAGGGTGCTGTGAGAGCCGCAGTAAGGCTGGGGGCCAGGGGAGGCAGGGTGGAGATGGGGTGGAGAGAAGAGAAGAGCTGTCCAAGGATCCCTCTCTTCACGGGATCCCGAACTGTACAACCAGCTCCTCTTTTGCGTCCACTCGGATCTGAGAAAGTGCACTGTAGGCATAAGCAGCTATCCTGGAGACCTGGGACAGAGGGGCCAGGGACGAGACGAACAGAGAGAGGCAGTGAGAAGGGAGATTGGCGAGAGAGGAGGGGATGGTGGGGGATGGGACAGACAGCAAAAAACAAAGGGGGGGGAAGAAAATAAGGGTATAAACAAGAATATACAAAGTACAAAAGGTGAGAGTGAGTTGGGCACTCGAGCTACCAGGCTCCCTAACTCCACTTCCCTACTGCCTCTGAGACAGAGAAGGTGACCCCTCTGCCACAGCCTGGGCCTGGAGGGAAGGGTAGGCAGGGGCGGGCCCAGGGGCGGCTCACCTGCTGCAAGTCGGAGAAGGGGACAGGCTCGCTGGCCAGCACTTGGTGGGGCTGGCTGGTAAGAGATGGCAGCGGCGGCAGCTTCTTCCAGTGGGTCAGGCTGCTGCTTAGCACAGCCAAGCGGGTGCTGGCCAAGAGGATGGATGGGAGTGGGCAGTCAGACCAGTCTGCTCTGCCCAGCCCAGCCCAGCCCAGCCCAGCCCAGGCAAGCCTTGTTCCTTCAGGCCAGAGAAGAAGGGTGACGGGCACCTCCGCTCACCACGACTTGCTCCAGGCCCACCTCCCTCTGCCTCCGCATCCCTGCGGGCCAAGGGGCAAACAGGGCTGACATGAACATCTGTGTGGTACCAGAGATTTGCTGTCAGTCTCATGCGCTGCACCCAAACAAGAAGCCTGGACTGGGGTTCAGGCTCCAAAGCTGGGTAAGGGGTGGAGGGGCAGGGAGGAGCCCAAGTAGCCTGAGTGGGGGCCACCGAAGCTGGCCGGGCCTCACCTGTACTGCCTTGCCCGGTCCATGTACTCATGCTGCTCCATGCCCTGGGAGTCCGCGGCAGACACGTCAATGATGTTGCTTTGGGGAGAGGAGGCAGAGGGAACATGACAGGTGCTTCAAGAGGGACACACAGGATTCACTGCCAAGTGCCGACTCCAGGGCTATCTGACACCAGTATTCCTGCCTGCCCAGTGGAGCAGGGCTAGACCCAGAGGCACCTCTAGCCACTGACCTTGCCCATCCCCCATGTCCTGGGCCACACAGTTCCTCTATCCCATCCTTTAACATGGATGGTGAAGCTCTGCCCAGGCTTGGGCCTGTGGTGCTCACCTGGCTGTCTTAGCAAGAATGGAGGAGAGCAAGGCCTGCTCATCTGTGCGAGTGGGAGGCAGGCTGTGGTAGTTGGGCTCGGCTCCATTGAGGGCTTTGGTAGGGGGGCTGCTAGGGTCCAGCAGCAGCTTCCGTTCCTCTCGGTCCTAGGAGAGGCCAAAGGGGAGAAGTCGGCCCTGGAGACTTTAGTCTAACACCTGCCTTTCCTGGGCTCTCCTCTCAGCCCACCTCTGACCTTTAACCACCAAGAAATATCCTAAGTGCCTAAGTGTATGAAATGTCAGCTAAGGCTCAGTCCTGCCTGCCCTTGGGAGCTCAGCTGAGCTGGTGGTCTGGGATGAATCAGAGTGGAACCAAGCAGTCCTAGAGGCCCTGAGAAGATGAATAGAGGCACAAGGCATGTATCCAGTAACACCTCTAGAGCTTCAGAGAACATTCTAGTGCCTGATGCAGGTCAGGAGATCCCCCAGACAATTCTATTCCTCGTACCCAGCCTCTGGGTCACACAGTCCCACTGTGCCCCCTTCTTGAGGGCAGGTCCCTTCTACTCTCAAGTGTTCACTCTCCTCTGATGCTCTCTTCATACACGACTCCCAGAACCAAACTTGATGCACCTGGTGAAGCCAGACCTGACAACGGAGCTGCTCCCTCCCTTACCATGCCAGCACACCTCTAGCAGTGTGGTTATGCTTTTTCAGTCACCTACACTGATCATCACACCCCCCAGAACTAACCTTGGGCCAGACCAAGTCTCCCTGGTCCCTCACAATTCTGTGTACATTTCTCTTCATCCTCATCTACTGCAATCTCTCTGAATATGACCCTGCCTTGAGCCCATCCACTGCAAATCCCCGCTGGCTTTGTGTCAGCTACAAATTGGATAAGCAGACCTGCTGGGTATCTATCCAAGCCGTAAAGAGCAAGGGTGCCCAGGACAAAGCCAAGGACAAGGTGCCCATCCTGCCTAATGCTGACTCACCAACTCTCAATGCCAGACCACCAGCGCTCCACTCCAGGCCACTTTCAGTTCCTACCACAAACCTTCCCACTGCGGGCTCCTGGCTCCCCTGGCCACAGCGTTCCTTACAAAGGGGCCACTTCCTCCTGCTGGCCTGCCCCACCCTAGGCAGGCCCAGCCTTTTCACAGTACTCTTTGTTCTAAAGCCTAGGTTGCACACGTGTCCCCAGTTTCCAACAACATGAGACAAGAGCTGTGGGATTCTGCCCTATCACCTCCCAACTCCTCAACACAGCCCCTCCTCCTTAAAACACAGGTTAAGTGTGAAAGGGCCAGAAAGACAAAATGCTTGCCAGAGATCAAACTATCTCAAAAGAAAGCTGGCTCCCTAATGAACCCTGAGTTTGCGTCCTGTGTGTCATCCTTCCCCCAGCCCTACTTCAGACAGATCTTCCTGCAGGACACGGCAGTTTTCCCCCTATCAGGGGTTCTTCAAGAACAATGTTGTTTTCCTGAGACCTAGACTCCCAGAAGAGGCCAGGCTACCCTCATCACAGTGGACAAATCACTTCACTTCACACCCTCACAGAAGGCCAAGTGCAGCATGGAGAGGATTTTCACACCCAAGTCTGTCCCTGAGTCAGTGTCAACCCAGGGGGTCAGGATTTCACCATCTACCCTAGCACAGACACATATATGTGGCCTGCCCATGACTACCCACCTGGTCTATGGGCACAGCTCAAAGAGAAAGCTTGGCCCAATGGATAAAGCACATGGCTTGGTATGAAGACACCATGGCTATGGCACTACTCAGCTCTGTATCATTGGCTAAACCACTTAGTCTCTCTAAACTTCTTCTTGCCATTAAATACACAACCTGTACCTATATGACAAAACATTTCACAAAAATCAAATGAAAGAACTATAAAGGCCTTTGAAAAATGTATCATACATTCTTTATTAAAATAAAGAAGCAGAGATGAGAGTGGGAGAGGAGCCTGTCCAAGAGTTGAGAGAGGGACTTAGTGAATGGTATGGCATAGACTTGCCACACAAAGCCTTAAATCAGCACAGATCGAGCACCATTCTGGGGGTTAAAAACAGAAGTGAGAGTCTGTCAAGAAGGTGAAAATCAGGGGCACTTGGGTGGCTCAGTGGGTTAATCCTCTGCCTTTGGCTTGGGTCATGATCCTAGGGTCCTGGAATCGAGCCCCAAGTTGGGCTCTCTGCTCTACAAGGGAGCCTGCTTCCAGCTCTCTCTCTGCCTACTTGTGATCTCTGTGTCAAATAAACAAAATCTTTAAAAAAAAAAAAAAAAGGTGAAAATCAGGAGAGCAGAAAACTAGAAGCTGGTATCCTTTCTTAAAAGGCACTACCCCTTCTTGAACCCTTCATTCCTTCCAAGAGTCTGTTTTACTCTTTAGGGCACAATTTCCTACAGTTTTCCCAGTAGGCAGGAATACTGTCTCCTCTAGGAGGCTGGGATAAAGTGAGGGGTAGTGGGCATGAGGTATGCCTAACATAATGCATAGGAAATAAGAGTATGTGTTCACTGAGTGTTTCGGAAATTAATGAGGCCCAGGTGCCACCCATACTTCTTATACAAATGACATTTTCCTAACCTTAAATCCTTAACCCAAAATAGGTTCATATGAGTCACTGGGGAAAGACCTACTTCCCAAATACCAGTAACAAAATCCATTTCCATGACCATCTTCCCCACCAGACTGTGAGCTACTTGCTGAAATCTTTCTATCCTGTGTCTAGAATGTGTTGAAATGTAGAATCCAGACTTAGAGACAATCAAAAAGGTGAGTGGCCAAAAGCTTGAGACTTCATCCTCAGGAAGGTCTCCCCACTCCTAAAAGGAGATCAAGCAGGCAGGGCAGGTTTAAGGTGGGAAGTGGGAATGCACCAAGAAGAAGAGGGAGAATTTAAAACTGCACAGGTTTCTCAGCCTAGTCCCTTGTGCAAAAGGATCAGATCTACAGTCAAATTCCCAGGACAGGCCCCTCTCTAGCTGAAGGAACCTTCAGGCCCCAAGCAAAAACTGCACTGAGGCAGGCCAAACTGAGCTCCCCATCCTGCCTCCCTAATCCAATCCAGTCAAGGCGGAAACCCACTTTGTAGCTTCCCAAATAACTTCCCACTTGCCTCGATGTCTTCACTGTCTCTACCAAATTCTTCGCTGGTCAACTCAAATGCCAGCTACTTCCAGAGGCCTTCTCTGACCACAAACCAGCAGTGACCTTACTTCTTCAACCCCAGGGGCTGAGAGCCTATACCAATTCCTGATTCATGTCAGGACAAATGAACTCTTAGCCTCAGCTTACCCATCTCTAGAATGGATTCACAAAGCCCGCTCACACAAGCACAGAAAAAGCACAGAAAGCTGGGAAGACAGTGTTTCCCAGAGACCAAGGTTGAGGAACCTAAAGGCTATATAGGTTTAAGGGTGGGATAAGATGAAAGGGGTGGGGCGAGCGGGATAGACGGGTTCCTGCACACCCCACTGGGGAGACTGTGGAGAAGCTGGGGCTTTAACAGGGGTAGGAGCCTGGCCAGGCGTCCCCTCTGTAATCTGTCCCCTCCCGGCCTCCGTACTATATGAACCCTGCAGTCCTACTCCCGCTCTTCTGCCGGTTTTCTTCTGGGCCCCACGCCCCAGCCTCTCAACCCTCATTCCCGAGACTCGCCCGCCCCGGCCGCACCTGGTCCGAGTCCTCGTTCTCGCTGCTGTAGCAGCACCCCATGGCCGGGGTCGGGCCGGGCACTCAGGCCGCGCCGAGGAGGGACGGCGTCCGTCGGGAGCCCTTCCGGTCACATGACCCGTGGCTGCATCCAGCAAGCAGCCACCCGCCTCCCTGCCTATCCCTTCCCAGAGTCGCGCCGCTGCCGCCGCAATACTGGCTTCCGGCCCCGCCTCCACCGCGTGATCATCGCCAACCAATAGGGAGGCTCACCTCCCTTGACAAACGCAAGACACGTGACGCGATGAAAGGCTGGGCGGATCACATGACTTCAGCCTCTGTCCACTCTTGGAACTCGCGTTTCCTCCGCCGGCTCTAGAGGTCCTCCTACTATGTGGTGGGGTGGCGGCCAGGCTACCTTTCTGAGGCAATGAGTAAACTTATACCAAATGCTATCATGATTTGTTTTCCTAAATGCCATGCGAGGGGCGAGTGGGATTGAGGCCCCATGCTCCTAGAGCACAACGTTTGTATACAAACTTTGGACCCCGATGCCCAGCCCGCAGTTGAGAACACCTAAAGAGTATGGCGCCCAACGGAGTTCTCAGCATCTACTGAGTATCGGAGACTTACTGGAAGAAAAGCCCTTATTCCTACGCAAACCGGAGCAGAGCTCAATCCTGGAGAGAGAGAGCGCCTCACGGGCTTTGCCCTCAAGCATTTCTCGTCAATCTTAATGGCCTTTTAACAGCAATCATAGTAATCTAACACAATGCTGTTTTCTTAGAACCATCCCATAGCTTTTCTTGGACGCTGAACACAGGTCCACGTATGTCATTCAAGATCTTGCAGACCCTCTCACCTGCCTCCCATTCCAGCATCTGGATCATGGAGGCTAGTAGTGATTGTGGTGGCGGTGCAGGGATGATTGGAGTGAAGCCTCACTAGCCATAAGAAAATATTTGCAGTTCCCTAACTGACCTGGACATTCCATGTGTGCCTGGAACACTGTCTCCCCACCAGGTCTGTCTTCTGTCTTCAACCCTCACTACAAACAGTATTTTCCTGATTGCCATCTTCATTCCCATTATTTGGAAATGTCTAGCTTCCTGTGCTTAATTCCTGTCATGTTGATTCCTTCATTTATCTTATCAAAAATTACTGTCTCGGGGTGCCTGGGTGGCTCATTGGGTTAAAGCCTCTGCCTTCGGTTCAGGTCATGATCCCAGAGTCCTGGGATCGATCCCCACACCCGGCTCTCTGCTCCGCGGGGAGCCTGCTTCCTTCTCTCTCTCTCTCTCTGCCTACTTGTGATCTCTGTCAAATAAATAAAAATCTTTAAAAAAAAATTACTGTCTCTGATGTGCCACACACCCTTCTGTAGAGATACATAGCAGTTCACAAAACAGCCCAAAGTCCCTGTATCTATGGAGCACTGCATTATGTCTATTCTACATTTCTGGATCAGTATCTTCATTCAAACTTGGAGTTCCTGGAGGAAGGGGGCAAGACCTGACTTCCCTCTGCGACCCACATCCCGGCATTTGCTTAGCAAAAAGTTGAATTTTGAATTGAGTAAATTACAGCCTCCCATCACTTTGGCTCACACCATGCCCCATTGTCCTGATACAAGGAGTTAGAAGAGAGGTCACCAAACCCAGTAGCTCTTATTACCGCTCAGATCAAGACCCTGAAGTTTGGTACAATTTTTTTAGGAGTTGAGAAGGGTAAGAGTCAGCCCCACCTTGTTCCTGCAGCTAGTAACCTGAACTGCAGGTCTCAGGTGGCAGCAGCAATTCTGCATCAATAATTGAAAGCAGGTCCAGCCTGCCTCAAGGGTTCTCTGGCCCCAAGGACTCCCCCTCCTTTCCTATGCTCTGATCGTCCCCAAGCAGGAGCCTCCAGCCCAGGTAAGCAGGGCTCTTGAGTGTGGGTTCCCAAGCACATCAGTTCAAACTCACTATCACTCACCTACTCACATCCATTTATACACTCTTACTTTCAATTTCAGTCCCCACCATCACCAGGGGCCTCACAAGGGGCAGATCTGGAGGAAAGGGAGGATGGTCCAGGGCAAGCCAAAGGAGAAGGCACTTACCCCTATAGGGGGCCAGCAAGAAGAAGAGGCTTAAGTGAGGGGGCTGTGTGCTGTGTGTTTACACTTGTAAAAGGAATTCTGAGAGAGAACAGAAAAGCTGAATGCAGGGGAGGGGAAACAGGACTGGAAAGGATATAGAATCAAGGACTCCTCCCACCCTCAAAGAAGACCAGATGGAGGGGTGGGAAGAAATCCTCATTCTAACACCCTATGGAGTGTTTTGATTGCCTTCTAAGGCAGCACACAGGGCCTGAAGGGGTTTCCGACTACAAATCTGTGCTCTTTTGCTCTACATTAATGGGTCAGAGAAGAAAAGGCAGAGGGTGGAGAGGGTAGAGGATATCTCAGAGGAGGTCTGTGAAAGCAGTCCAGAAATGAGGAAATGAGAAGAAACAGGTAGAAGAAGCAAGGTGAAGATAGGACCAAGGGGCAGAAGTGGGAAAAGATGGCTTGGGGGTGGGTGCAGAACATAGACTAGCATGAAGTCCTTAAAAGTGCATGGGCTTGAAATCAGACCAATTCAGATTCAAATCCCAGTTCTGCTGTGTGACTCTGGACAAAAGTGTCTTTTGAGCTATGGTCTTTAAAATATAGAGATAATACAAATGACAAGCAATGATGCATGTGGGTTTCCCTCCCTGCTTCCCTTCACACCCAGTCCTGGTAGGGACCATGTCCCCCGCCATCGCACTGGCCTTCCTGCCCCTGGTGGTGACATTGCTGGTGCGGTACCGGCACTACTTCCGACTGCTGGTGCGTATGGTCTTGCTGCGGAGCCTCCGAGATTGCCTTTCAGGGCTGCGGATTGAGGAGCGGGCCTTCAGCTATGTGCTCACCCATGCCCTGCCTGGGGACCCCAGTCACATCCTCACCACCCTGGACCATTGGAGCAGCCACTGCGAGTACCTGGGCCACATGGGGCCTGTCAAAGGTCAGTGTTCCTTAACCGTCTACTCTAGGAAGCACCCCCAAGATGGTAAGGAAGGTCTGGGATCTGCCGCTGCCTACTGGGTACCCTGGGCGGGTTCCTGATCCTCTCTGGGGCTCTTTTTTTCCCTCTACAAATGAGGTGGGTAGGCAGTTATTCATTCATCTAGCAAACACTTATTGCCACCCTTTTTTACTAGGCCTATACTAGGTGCTGGGTGGGAAAAGGAGGCAGAGGCCACACAGATCAATCAGCCACAAATGCTGGCCTCAAAGTAGAGGTAATACAAAGGGAATAACCATCACAGTGCATAACCCATAATTTTGTAATTACCTGTCCTAAATATTTCTCCCCACACCATGGAGTCTCCCACATCCCATTTAGGGTAGCTGCCTGGCTTTGTCTGAGTCCCAGCTTCTGGCACAAGTGCTTTTAGAGTCTGAAGAAATTTTTCAAATTCCAAGGTTAGAAAGATATTCAATGAATATAAATAACAAGGGGGGATGAAAATGGGAAGTTCCAGCAAAGGTTTCGGTTGGTTGTTTCTACTTGAGCCCTTCTGGAGGAAGCAACACTTACACACAGCCTAGAATTGCTTCCAGCTTGGCCAAGCAGATAAACACAGGGGTGGGAGGGGCAAAACCAGCCACATATACTAACGCAGCATGATGGAATGAGCCAGCACTGACTTGGCTGATTCTGGCCACAGTGTATGGGAGGGCTGTGATACAGGCTACAGATGGGAAGAACTAGAAAGGTTGGCTAGGATCGGGTCCAAGAAGGTCCTGAATGTCAGGCTGAGGATCTCAAGTTCAATCTCAAAGGCCTTGAGGATCATAGGAACCAAGGAACAAAGGGTCAGATTTGTTTGTTGAAAAGATGCCTGATGGGTGGTATGAAGAAAAGAGTGAAGGAGGCAAGCCGGGAGGGGGAAGAGGACCAGTGGAGCAGCTGAAACTATAGTCTGAGAAGACCCCAGCTGGTTGGGGGTTGCAATGAGGCAGGTGGCCATTTGAGATCCATTTCTGTCAGGGGTCCTACATCCAGCTCCCACATTTGCTGCAACAGCCATCTTTCCCCCAGGTCAGATCCTGATGCGGCTGGTGGAGGAGAGAGCCCCTGCTTCCGTGCTAGAGCTGGGCACCCACTGCGGGTACTCCACATTGCTTATTGCCCGTGCCCTGCCGCCCGGGGGCCGCCTTCTCATCGTGGAGTGGGACCCACGCATGGCAGTAGTGGCTGAAAAACTCATCCGCCTGGCTGGCTTCGACGAGCGCACGGTCAGCCCCCACCTCCCAGACCCTTGTCTCTTCTCTCCCATGCCCAGCCTTGCCCGAGCCAGGCCTCTCCAGTGAGAGAATCCCACCTAGAAGGCAGCAGCTCCACATAGGGGACTGTGACCCTGGGTGATGCATGAATTCCTGCCCTTCTGTTCCAAGTCATTTGCTCATATTTGCTGCTGGATGACAAAGGAGCAGTTAAGAGGAGGGTCTCTGGAGCCCAGCAAATCTGGGTCCAAACCTTCAGTCTACCCCTTGTGAGCTTTATGACCTTGGGCAAAGCACTTATTCCCTGAATCTCAGCTTCATCACTGACAGAATGGAAATCACAATACTGACGCTGACCTCTTGGGTTTGTTCTGAGGATAGAGGAAATGTGTGAACACTCGTGGGGTCCTAGGCCAGGACCTGGCGTAAGTAAGCCAGATCATGCAAGAGTCTGGTGTGGGAGAACAGTCTCTCCCACCCTCACCTCCAGCTCCTCCTCCCCCACAGGTGGAGCTCATTGTGAGTAGCTCAGAGGAGGTGATCCCACACCTACGAACCCAGTACCAGCTGAACCGGGCAGACATGGTGCTCCTGGCACACCGGCCCCGATGTTACCTGCGAGACCTGCAGCTGCTGGAGGCCCATGCCCTGCTGCCAGCTGGTGCCACTGTGTTGGCTGACCACGTGCTCTTCCCGGGTGCACCTCGCTTCCTGCAGTATGCCAAGAACTGTGGCCGCTACCGCTGCCGCCTCCACCACACTGGCCTCCCAGACTTCCCTGCTATAAAGGACGGCATAGCCCAGCTCACCTATACAGGGCCTAGCTAAGGCCCGGGCCCAGGGGTACTTACTGCTGCCCCTCCACCCCCACCCAAGCAAGGACCGAAGAACATCCCCTCCCCTCCCCGGTTGTGGCCTGACACGTGCTGGGCTCAGGGTGGTGGGAGGTTGTCCTCCCACCTGTGGCCTCCTATCCTGTTCCACACTGATTCAGGCATCAAGTTCTGTCAGACTGCTTGGTCCCACTGGCCCCTCTCCTTCCAGAGCAAGTCACAGATTAAGAGGCAAGAGTCCTAAGCTCCCAACCCAACTCTATCACTGATTTTCTGGGTGATTCCAAAGGAGTCCCTGTGTTGCTCTGAGATTTAATCTGCTTTCTTAACACCAAGGATGCTGGCTGGAAGAGTTCCAGGGGCCTTCCCTGTCTGGACCAGGTCAAGTGCTGCTCCACTTGAAGCCAGTCTCTGGGAAAGCCAGCACCCCCCAGCCCATGCAGTTCCAGGTGGGGTCAGAGGAAACAGAGAGGCTCTGAAGGAATGTATGAATATAATCTGGGCCAGAGAAAATGGTAATGGAGCCTGAGGCTAGGGCCACCCTGGCCTTCCTTAGCCCTGGACCACATGCTCAAGTAGGCTTGCCTGAAGTCCCCTGTGTGCCCTCTCCCTGAAGTTCAAGAGAAGGTGCTGGATTCCTCCGGGCCCTACCAACAAATAGGGAGTAGACACGGGGGTCGGGGGGAATCAGTCCTGTGTCTTTATTAAAGGGAGTTAGAAAGAGACTATACCTGGCAACCAAAGGGTGAAGTACTAGGCAGAAAGGTGGGCTGGGCTCAGGCCCTGGGGAATCCAGGGCAAAGTGATGGCCTGGGAGGGGCCAAGGAGACCAGTTCCTGGCAGCAGCTGAAGAGATACCCAAGGGTGAGCTTTCAGGCACTGGGGAAATCAGCTGGTTTTGCAGGGGATGCAGGGTAAGGTGGGCTGGCCTGGAATTTCCCTGAGGCCACCCTGCCTTGTCTACCTAGATCATCCACTGGTCCTGATCCTGTTCGTTGCCTTCCATGTCCACCTGGAGAGAAGGCTGGTGTGGGTGGGAAGGGGCCTCAGCCACCCGGCCAGCCCCAGTACCAGATCCAGCCCATCTGGAACCAGAGTCTCTGTACCCCTTGGGCACCAGTTAGGTCAGGGGCAGGGGCCCTTCCCCACACCCCTGCCTACCTCATTGACCTCTCCATCATCAGGCGACTCATTGTAGTCATTCATCTCATCCATGTCCTGCATGTCCTCATCATCCTCTGAGTCCTCTTCACTATCTTCGTCATCATCTTCATCCTCCTCTTCCTCGTCATCATAGTGCTGGTGAGGCAGGGGAGAGCCTATAGGCTCTATAGGGCTGTCTGGACCAGGTCAAGTGCTGCTCCACTTGAAGCCAGTCTCTGGGAACAACGAATGACCCTCCATTCCCCAACCATGCCCCACCCCTTTGAGTCTAGCAAGCAGATGCATGTTCTGCAGGACCTTAGTGCTGGGTCCAATGGCTACTTATTCTACCTCCCCTTTAGAGCCTCCACCCAGAGCTGAGGACCACAACTGCTCAGGGGTCCGAAGCAGGACCTTCAGAAGTAGAGCAGAGCCTTAGTCCACCTGGGCCCCACACAAGCCCTACCTGCTGGAACCACTCACCTCTGAGGCCGGCTTGCCAATAGGTACCAAGTTGTTGTCTTTCTCTGCGATGCTCTGGAGCTGTGGCCAAAATGGGAGAAGAGCAGGGTCAGGGCCTGAGCAGGAGAGGTCAGGGACATGGGACTAGCCCACTGTGCCCCTAAGATGACCCCTCAAGTGTGGAGAAGCTTCCTTCCAGTTTCCAGAAAGAAATCAATCCCTCTGTCTCTTGTCATCTGCCACTTACTTATAAACTTGATCCAACCACATAAATTCTCTGGGCTGTGGTTTCCTCATAAGATTTTGGTGAGGATGAAGTGAGAAACTATCATTTTAGAATATCCCATCTACGAGGTCCTCAATAAAATCAAAATTATGTCCTATGCTTTAGGGAAAAGAGCCTGGGCTCCAGTCTGGCCCAGAAGTCTAATGGGCCCATAGTAAATCGGAGTCCTACAAAGATGTGAAGCTAGCCCTCCTTCCTCCCAGCTTGATTATTCCCAACTCAGGGCAAAAAGCTATTCCCTGACTGAGGCTCCACCACCGTGTTAGGTCCTTACTCACCCAGGCCTGATGCTGTTGTTCTTGCTGCTGTAGCTCTGTCTCCTCCACACAGGGTCGATCCAGGTTAAACCACAGTGTCTCCGTCACACGGGGGAAAAGTGAGGGAAACAAGGTGGACATGGCTCCTAGACTGAGGTAAAGGGCCAGGTGAAATCCAGCTGTCAGGTGTCTTTGGTTGGGGTTTTATTTGGTTACAGTTTAATTTGGGGGTCAGGTGGAGAAGAAGGTGGCAGGGAAATAGCTCTTCTTGGTGAGAATTAGATAGACCTGGGTTTGAATCCTGTTCCACCACTTACTAGCTGTTTTGACCTTGGCCAAGTCACTTAACCTCTCTGAGCCTCAGTTTCCTCATCTGTAAAATGGGGAATAACAATTATACTATACTCTCATAGTTATTCTGATAATTAATTCCCTTTATGGAGAAGTAAAGTGTTTAAACTGGTCAAGGCGGGGAAGAGAATGGAACCCAAATGTAGAGCTATGAATCCAGAATGCAGACCAACACTACAAAATTAGACAAAATTAGAACAAGGCTCCACTGACACTATCTTTTCCTCCTCCAAACAGTAAAACCTACTTCTTGCCCCTCTATGATGATCCCTACCATACTTAACCCGTGTCAGAAATTTAGGACACTAACCACCTCTCTCATGAACAACAGCTAAACTGGGGTGGGGGTGGGGGTTCCACGTGCAGTATGGTTCAGAAAGGCATGAGTAAATGGATAAGTAAATGGAAGGCTGAATGAACGATCATGTGAGAGAATAAGTCAATTCGGCAAGGATTAAGCAGCTGAGGGAGCTGACCAAAAGGTCCCAGAGAATCTGAATTAAAGTCTTTCACCTCACAGGAAAATTGAGGCCCTGCGATAGGCAACGACGGGCTCTAGATCACGAGTTGGGGCACTGAATTCCCACGGGGAAGAAATCGAGGCCAGGCACTAGAGGAGATGAGCAGGAGAAAAGGACCTACGTCTAGTTCTGCTTTTACTCTAAACTCATTTGACCGACACTGGGCCAGCCGCTGCCCTTCCGTGAATCTCGGCTTCCCGCCCCATGACACCAACACAGTAGCACCCAAGCTCACGTCCCCTAAGTAGGAGAGGCCACTTAGACTGAGGCTTGGAAAGCCCACCCCTCGCCACCAAGCCACCGCCCATTCTTCGCTTATTATGATAATGACTGCGGGGTGGACCAACACGAAGAATGCAGGGGCGGGATTCGAAAAGGCATTTGCCCTTATAGGGTTACCAATCGCGAAAGGAGCGGGGCCTGAATAGGGCCAATTAACTGGAAGAAATGCTGGGTGACAGAAAGTGACACCAATGAGTGACGGATCTTGGGCGACGGGGTGGGGCTTGGCCTCGACGAAGCGCCAATGAGCTGGAGCTCTTTACTGTTAAAAGGAGTCTGAACTGAAGGACCTGAGGAGCCGCGGCAGGGCCACGGATTTTCTCTGGGGGAGGGCGAAGAGAAGCGGCAGGGAGACAGCGGCCGCAGCCGGGCTTCTGTACTTACCACGCCGGGAGGCGGTAGCCGGCGGCGACCCGGAAGCACTTCTCTCGGTCTGAGCGGAAGAGCCCGCCAGAAACCTAGCAGCACCAGCGCGTGCGCCTTGGCTTTCTTTTGTTTCTCGCTCCCGCCCACCACACCGGATGTGACGTTACACACTTCAATCACAACGTTGAGTTTGGAAATTTGCCTACTCTTTTGGCCCCTCCTTGAGCCTCCGCCCTTCGGCCTCTCCAGCCTGGACCCTCCCCAAAGGCCCTATTTAACCCCGCCCCTTCGTTCCTGGCCAGGATCGGCTTGCCAACCCCTGCGGAAAAATAGCTGGCAGCAACCGGCTTTAGTACTAGGACTGTTTGTCCTGCCGCGTCCCAGGAAAATTCGTCTGCTTCTACCCCAAGATCGCTGGGTGATATTACGCCCCTTCCGTCTGTTCCTTCTCAACTTCAGTTTGTTTGGGCGCATACACTGAATTATGTATGACTTCTACAGAAATCATTGAGTCCCTGCTATATTCCAGGCTCTGCTAGAAGCTGGGGATAAATCTAGAACACGGTCCCTGCCCCCATAGACCTCACAGTCCAGTGGAGAAACCAGACTCTGCAGACCCACCGCGGACTCACTGGTTTCTTAAGATTGCCTTAAGATTTCTTAAGATTGCGTTCTTTTGAGTGACTGACTAGTCAGCCTCAGGGCACTGCTTTTGGGAAAGTCAGCTGTCCTAATACCTTAGTGGTCAGTTTCGTCATCTCTCCCAGTCCTATGATGATGCTTCTGTTACAGTAACCTCTGACTCAGCCTCCCCTTCAGAGCTCCTGCCTTCTTGTAAACCGGCAATCCAGCAATCCCAACCCCCATTAAGCTCCATCACTCACCAGCCTCGTCAAGGACTAGCAATCATCCACAATTCCACTCCTGGCCCCACCCAATGTATGAACTTTAACAAGTCCCTTTTTCTCCCAACCTGGATTCAGTTTCCTCTTCAACTAGTCTCATAAACTGCAGCCTTCCTCCTATCCTGGACTGATGTGAGGATTTGGTGACATTACATGTTTAAGTGGTAGAGTACTGTGTATATTAACATTACGTTTCCAACCAGCTCTAGTTGTTATAAAGTTTTTCTTCTTTTTAAAAATATTTTATTTTTATTTGAGAGAGAGAGAGAGCACAAGCGGGAAGGAAGGAGAGAAGCAGACTCCCAGCTGAGCAGGGGAGCCGGACGTGGTCCTCCATCCCATCATGACCCAGGCCCAAGGCAGACACTTAACCAACTGAGCCATCCAGGCGCCCATAAAGTTTTGTTTTGTTTTGTTTTTTTGAGATTTTTATTTCTTTTCT